AGTTACCATGCTATTATTTGTCAAAATGCAAACAGAAATAGACTGCTTTCCTTGTAGGTGATATATTTCTATTTCATCTCTCATCTTTCAATAAGTTTGTTTGTTCTCTGCTGTATTCCATAAAGGGCTAGGTGGCTCAAGCCTGAGTCATTGTGCTTGGAGACAAGATGTATAATAAAAATTTAGTTTTTATGCTGCATTGGAGTTTTATTCAGAAGTATTCTGGCTATTTCATTGGAAGTCCGACAATTGTTTTTTTGTCCCCCCCCCCCCTCCACTGTGCTATTTGTAGTTCTAGTTCATGACTCTAGACTCTTCATCATTCAACACTTTTTTCTTGTGTTTCAAGTTACCAGAACCAGTCATTGTTTCTCTTATCCAACATCTCTATTTGCCACTCTATATGAATATCCAACCATCTCCATGTAGTAAATACTATTTCCCCTCACATATCCACGGAGAACCTTAGGGGGAAACAAAAAAAGGAACTAGAAAGCATAGGATTCTCATCAGGCTCAGTGTCTGATGTTTTTGAGTGTAAGAGTATTAAGCCCTTATTTGCTACAATTGTTTTGGCTTTCATGGAATCCCTTTACTAGTTACTGGTGAAACATTGTAATTGACCTGTCCTTTACTGTTGATTTTGTTGTTGTTGTTGTTGCAACCTCCTATTTCCAAGTTCCTGCATATTTTCCTTCATTTGTGCCCTTCCATCTCATCCCCTCATTCTGCTTACAAGTCTCTGCAGCCAGCTCATGCCTGTCTTCAGTCCATTTCCACCCAGCAGCCCGTGTTCATGTACACCTTTAATCATGTTATTCCCCTACTGAAAACCTTCAGTGACATTGAGGATTAATCAAATCCTTCGCCCAGCCAAGGAGCCTCTTGTGACTGGGCCCCCAGGCTGCTTCTGTAGCTTTCCACTGTGCTCCTCTCCAGCTGGGTGGGAAGACAGCTGATGAGGCTGAGCCAGCTCCTCCAAGGTGTGTTCCTTCTCTTCTTTATGCCTTCTCGGCTTAGGGGTAACTCTGGCCCTGGTGCTCTGACATGGCCCACATATCTTCAAGGCCTTAGGTTAAATGTTCCTTTCCCGAGGAAGCCTAATGTCCAGGGCTAGGTACGATCTTTTTCTTAACTCCCCATAGCACCTTGAATGCTGAAATTTCCTCTGAGACTGGCAGCCAAACTAGCCAGTCAAGTCTTCTTGACAACAGTTGAACATAGTTGAAGTTGAATGCTTTTGTATTTGGGCATACATCTTCTGATGTCTTTATTATGCCCTCTTTTTCTCCTAGGTAGCTGGCTTTTTGCAGGGCTCTGTACAATTGTAATTAATAGATTACTTGTAAATTTTTTTTTACCTTCTTCTTTCTCTTGATAGGCAATAAGCCCTTTGTGGGTGGGATGCCCAGCTCAGTGCCTAGCCCATGGTAAGGTATTTGATAAATAATTCCTGGCCCTCTGGCACAAGATTTAAAGCATAGTCAGCACTCACTCAGTGTTTATTGAACTGAATGTAAACTCCCTGTTTGCCTTTCTATGATAGAAATTGACTTGTTTGGCCTTTCTGTCCCATTTTCTCTGCTCATTTTGCCATTTCTGGACTAGAGAAGCTGTCAGCTTGCTTGCTTGCTTGCTTTCTTTTCTTTCTTAGATTTTATTTATTTGACACAGAGCACAAGCAGGGAGAACAACAGGCAGAGGGAGAGGGGGAAGCAGACCTCCCACTGAGCAAGGACCCCCCCCCCCCCCCCCATGCAGGGCTTGATCCCAGGATGCTGGGATCATGACCTGAGCTGAAGGCAGATGCTTAACCTACTGAACCACCCAGGCGCCCCAAAGCTGTCAGCTTTCTATTTTGTATTTGCTATCACATCTTATTTTGCATTTTATACTTTTGTTCACTTATTTGCATACTAAATGTTTGAATACAGCTATGTTTTAGAGAGGTATCTAGATATTTTTCCTTCTTGACAAGAATGGAGCATTCTTGCAGACGTTAGACCCCCATATGTAAATATTGTTTTATCACTTAAAGAATGTAAAGAAAAACATTCGTGCCATCTGAAGTTTTCCCTCACAATTTTAATTAACTCCCTTGAGCCCAGTGTGGGTTACTAAGAATAAGGGCCAAAATCTTCACATCCCAGTCAAGGAACTTCTTGAAACAGACTGGTTGTCTGGGCATCTTGCCTTTATTCTTGCTCCAAAAAGATGCTGTGTGTAGTAGAGCGGGAGGAGGCGGGACCTTGGGTCTGTACTGTGTGGTGCCAAGGTAATGGAAAAGTGGAACCAAGACAAAAAAGTGTCGGGTAGACAATTAAGAGTCATTTTGCTATGTGGGGGTGGGGGATTATTGGTGATTTTTTTTTTTTTTTAACCCCCTACAAATTTCAGTCTGGAGAAAATGGTTGTAGGCAAGAGCCTATCAATTGTAGCTATAGTTACTTTGTAGTGAACCCTAATCAAACAACTTCTCTTGTGCTTTATAACGATCATGTGGGGAGAAAGCATAATGCCTGTGTGAGTGAGCACTGGGAGTCCTACTTACTCACATTTGGCTCGTTGCTTTTGCAGGACTTTTTACTTTATAGTACTTTATAAAAATTGCAGTGATTATTGAATTATAGTTGATTATTACTGCTTGCTTTACTTGAAAGAGATTATCCATTAGTTAAAAATGAGTTGAAATACTACCACAGGAGTGATAACTTTAAAAAGTATATTCAGTATCCAACAAGAATTAATATTTACTTTTTGTTTCAGCCATCTACTTTCATTTCTAGTTTTCTGTGTTTTGCCTTTTAATTCTTTGCCAGAAAAGTTCTTTTCGAATACTAATTTATAATATTTGAATCAAATATTCAAAATTTGTTTCATTTGCAAAACTGCCCCCAGGTGAAGAGGCATTATTAATGGCTTTTCTACCTAGTTATTGCTTCCCGGTATAAAGAGTTTTTCTGACTGAATCTCTGAGTGTCTGAAAAAACTGAACTGAGAAAGATTATTTGACCCAGAGGACCAGCACAGGGCTCTAAGAAAATATGAAGGAAACACCAAATGGTGAACAGTCTGCCTTCTTGAACATAGAATTGGGATGGGGTGGAAAATGATTTTCTGGTTTTACACTCTGTCCATGCCTGGGTAACAATAAGCATGTATCTCTTTTATAAATAAAAATTTAGTCATCACTAGCACTTCACACCGATTAAGATGGCTACTCTAAAAAAAAAAACAACAAAAAGCGGATAACATAAGTGTTGGTGAGGATGTGGAAGCCTTGTGCATGTCGATGGGAATATACAACAGCACAGCTCCTGTGGAACAGGTGTGGCAGTTCCTGAAAAAGATTAAAAATAGAATTATCATTGACCCAGGGGGAGGCAAACTTATTTCTCCCTGTTCACACAGTACTTCTGTACTCTAAATATGTGGGTTTTTCCATACCCAGCAAGTCTCCAGTTCTCTGCAGAGACCGAGTACCCTACAGTTTAACCGAATCTTGGCATTACCTCAAGTTAGTGAAGATGCTTCCGATTAAGGGCTCACTCCCACAAGACTGTGCCCACTGCCTCGGATGCATCACGAGTCCAGGTTGTCACCTGTGCTTTTGGCTGTAAATTGGGGGTTTGATATCTTGGGTTTGATGATTTTCTAGAACACCTCGTAGAACTCAGGGATACTGTTTACTTCTGCCATTTTATGACAAAAGATATTTTAATGGAAATAAACGAACAGCCAGATGAAGAGATATATAGGGCAAGGTATAGGGGAAGGGGCTTGGAGCTTCCATGTCCCCTCTGGATGTGTTACCCTCCTAGTGCCTCCACGTTTTCTCCAACCTGGAAGCTCTCTGATACTTCGGGTATTTTATAGATCTTCGTTGTGTAAGAATGATTGACTGACTCATTGGCCATTGGTGATTGAACTCAATCTCCAGCCCCTTCCTCCTCCTGGAAGGGGCGTGGGGGTGGGGCTGAAAGTTCCAGTCTCCTAGTCACACATTTCCCCTGGCAACCAGCCCCCATCCTGAGGCTGTCCTGGAGCTCCCAGCCTTGTTATCTCATTAGTATATCAAATGGCATTTATTTTGGAGATTCCAACGGTATTAGGAGCTTTGTGCCAGGAAACGGGTCGGAGACCAAATGCATTATTTCTTATCACGTCACACCCTGGACTTGCGATTGGCATCTGAGGCAGTGGGCACAGTCTTGTGGGAGTGAGCCCTTAATCGGAAGCATCTTCACTAACTTGAGGTAATGCCAAGATTCGGTTAAACTGTAGGATACTCGGTCTCTGCAGAGAACTGGAGACTTGTTGGGTATGGAAAAACCCACATATTTAGAGTACAGAAGTATTGTGTGAATAGGGAGAAATTCCACTTCTGGCTATATCCCTAAAATAATTGAAAGCCAGGTCTTGAGATATTTGTACACCTAGGTTAATAACAGCATTGTTTAGAATAGCCAAAACGCAGAAGCAACTGAGGTGCCCATGGACAAACGAGTGGGTAAGCAAAGTGCAGTGCATGTGTACTCAGCCTTCAAAAGGAAGGAAATTCTGACACATAGTACAACATGGATGAGAATGGAGGATATTATGATAAGTGAAACAAGCAAGTTACAAAAAGAAAAAATATGGTATGATTCCACTTACAAGAGTTACCTAGGAGTAATCCAATTCACAGAGACAGAAGGTAGAAGGGGAGCACGACAGAGGCGGGGCAGGAAGGAAATGGGGCATGGTTTCATGGGTACAGCATTTTCGTTTTACAAGATGAAGCGTTCTGGGGATTGGTCTCCCGATAACGCGAACATACTCAACACAGTTTGCCCTGCACAGCTAAAAATGGTTAAGGTGCTACATTGTTTGCTATGCGTCTTTTGTTGCAGTTAAAAACTCACCCCCTCTTCCTCCCCACAATAAAACATTCAAAGGTGGAAAAGCAGGGTGGTTTTCCCAGCCCCGGGCTCACAGGCCGCATCCCTGGTGTCTTTCAGGCCTGGCGCTGCTCTGACCATGCAGGCGTTCTCCGAGGATGAGCGGAAGCAGTGGTTGGAAGCCCTGGGTGGAAAAGAAGCTGTAAGAATCCTCACCGGTCGAGTCGTATTCACATCCTTCAGTGTTGACTTGTATTCCTTTTTATGGGATTTTTGCTTTCTGGTATTTGGCGGGGAAGAAAAAGGTTCTCTGCCGACGCTGGTGTTTCGATTCCTCTGGGAAGCGTCCCGCATTCCAGGAATTTGGCGGAAGCCAGCAGCCACACACAGAAGACCCGTGTGTCCTTCGTTTTGATTTTTGATTTTTCTTGACTTTGCCACTCAGGTTTGCTGTGCTCGAGGAAGTCATCGAAACGCTCAGTTTTGTTTTTTTTTTTCTTTCCTACCTGACAGTTCTTTGGGTGATGAACACAATAAATGCTTGCAGTTCATGTTGATCTCAGTGGAGACAGAACAGTAAATACGAGGCCGTGCAAGCAGTATTATAAACAACTGCTTATATTATATATTATAAATATTAGATATTTTGCTTGATTTAGCAATTTATGGGTCAGGCTAATGGTTTATGGTATGCAGTATCAGGTAGCCCTAGTAAATGGGCCTCTGTATGATGGGTATGAGGAATAAATTAAAGGGAGTGGTAGAGATCCAGAGGCACATCAACTCAGTCTGCTTGCGACTTGATTCAGGCACTGCTTTCATCTTAGTGGGCTGCTGGCCTTCGGGGGCAATTGAGAATTTGGCAGATTGTGTATTGAATTGGGGACTTAGGGTAATTATAGAAAACACCATAGAACCAATTTAAATAAACTCTGCTGAAAGTATTACGACTCTAAGTAAACTGCCAGTAGAGGTAGCAGGGGGGCTTAACTGGAAAGCATTTGCCATCTTAGCAGGGTTTAAAAAAAGGGAAAGAGAGTGGCTTGCAACGTGAAAGAGGGGTCATACGTAGTAGTAGGAGAGGTGTCCGAATAGAGTTGTGAAACTGGCAAAGGATGATGTTATCTGATGGTCACAGAGAGCACACTGGTGGAATTATAGGATATGGGGGCCGGGGAGATGGGCCATGGTGTGTGTGGCAGTCTGGTTCAGTATTTGAAAAACGAAAACCCCAAGAACACATGTTAAAAATAGATGCTGTAGAGGAGAATATATCACGCTTGGGAAAACAAAAAAGTAGTAATCAAATTTATCTATTATTTTGTTGTATTTGACCAACATTTAGCCTTCATAGTTTTATTTCTGTCTATTCTTAATTTGTCCTTGAAATTTTTAGCTGGGAATCAAGAGTATTTACAGCATTTATGGTTACTGAGATCCAAAACACATTATACTAATCCTCTCTAGTAAAAGCAATGCAGTGACTAGGACTTCTCTCCCCAGAGATTCAAGAAGTGCTTTGGAAAGTGAGTTTGCCTAGCAAAAAGGTCACATGACTAAGTCTTTGAGAAATAAATCTGTTGTCAAAGGCAGTGTAACCTTGAAGACATATATAACCTCTCCTTTAGAACAAGAAACCAAGTAATTAATTTGAGATACACAGACAAAGGCAAATCTGCAGAAAGAAAATATTTAGATATGTATTTATGTGAGGACACTTAAGGACACGTATTTTTTTTTCAGGTGCTATATATGCCTTGCAAATAATGGGTCAGTGCTGAAGTTCTTAGAAGCAGCCTGGAATTATCACCTAGCTATTTCAGATGTAGTTATTTAAATTATGAGCAGGAGTTCTCTCTTTTTTAAGAAAATACCAGATTTTAGAAATAGTGGTAAAAAAAATGAGCTTCATCTTATTGCTTAGAATGCAGCAATTTGTCATTCGATACCTATAAGGCTGAGCATTTCAAATTTATATAAACTTCCAGTGAGTTCCTAAAGAATCATAGCTCCTTCATCTTATTTTTACTACTGTGGCATACCTCTCTGTAAGAGAGTAGACTCAGAGATGCCCCTTATTGTTCCTTATCTTAGTATTTGAGCACATTAGTATATAATTAACCAATATCAATGTATTTTTTTGCATAGTCCTAGGCATGCCTACTTGAATCCTTTATATTGATGTGTTAAAAATACTGTTTTCCCTTTTTTTCTTTTACTAGCTGTTACATAGTTTTAATAGAGCCATCATCCCAAGACCAGAAGGAAGTAAGTGTTAATTCATAAAAAGGACTGTTTGTTCCCCTTTTTCATGAGTTTGTTTTCATTACTGATGTCAAAGTGTTGCTGAGTGCTCTGTACTCTCTCTAACTAGTCCTCCAAATAATACATGTATTCTCTTTTACTTACTGGGGACCAACTCAGATTTTCCTGGACTACTGTAATCCTCATTGATCTTTTCCATCTCTGGGCTTTTTTTTTTTGGCCTTTCTCTATAATTACTTTCTCTACAAAACCCAAAATGCTTCCTCCACAGTTTACTTTGATATTTATTCTCATGGCCATAAATAAACACATAAGAGTTTCAGGGATGCATCTTTCAGCTTCCTAAATTGTAAGCTCCTGTGGGAGCTCTATCAGGTCCCCTGTTTGCAACCCCCTCACCATGACCCTTGATATTTTTTTATCCTTAAAGTCTGAGTATGGACTATATGAGTAGTAAATCATTGCACTTTAGAAAATAACAATCAAACACATTCAGATATTCTAGGACATCGATCTTCACGTGCATTGTATGCACTTGAAGAACATAAAGCCTAGCTCTCTAATCTTGATTTTTACTGAGATAAAACAAAAATGTGATCAGAGTTGTTGGATTCTTTGTAAGTTTACTTTTGATATCTTTGGAGAAATTAAGGCTACGTTTATCAAATGTGTACAGTTTGGAAACTTTATATTCTCTAACACACAGTTTCAAAATTATCATGATGTGTGTTTCATTTGAGCTAGTGTTGAGTAAAAGACATTTCTAGCCTGCCACCGAGAATTGCCGGTTGTAAACCTACTTGAAGTGCCTTCTTACCCTCTTCCCGTCCCTCCCTCCTCATTCTCCTCCCTTCCTTCCTGTCTTTCTCCTCTTCTTTCCTCCTCCCACTCCTTTTCTCCTTCTCCCCTTCCAAAGGTTCTTATTTTTTATGGAGAAATAAAAACATGCTACTTTTTTTGAAAAATAGTTTTGCTAAAAATTTTATAAAATTTTGTGACTAGTGGATCCTTAAACAGTAAACCACTGCCTTATTTTCCTCCTTAACATTCTCTTCAAGCTTAGCATTAAACCTGCAGTTTATATTCATGGATTGTTCATGCTGTCTGCTCTGAGAGACTAGTGTTAATATTAGTGTTCCCTCGTTCTAAATACAGACTCAAGTATTCGCTTCCCCTGATTTCATTTTTGAAACAAGAATCGTCTTTTATTAGGACACTCAAATGTGTCAGCCTAATCACAGGCAAGCATCTATATTAGAAAAAAAAAAGAGGAAATTTTTGAAATAATCTCTTCTGCTACATAAATCACTTGTTTTAAATTCATTATGAAAATAATAGAATATTAAACACTTAGAGCATGGTATGAAATGTGAGATTATTTTTCAAGCTCATGGCCCATATAATACTTTTTTTCCCCAAATAATACTTTTAGAAGTGTTTAAAAAATTTTTTTAAAGATTTTATTTATTCGAGGGAGAGAGAGCATGACCCTGAGGTGGGGAGGGGCAGAGGGAGAAGCAGGTTCCCTTGTAGGGATCCACCCCGGGACCCTGAGATCTTGACCTGAAATAGCCACTTCACCAACTGAGCCACCCAGGTCTCCCTAAAATTTTTTTTCTTTAGGTTAAAAAAAAAAAAGTTTGTGTTATTTCTCTGTCAAGTAATTTACTTCACTCATATATAACTAAAAAAAAAAAAAAAAAAAAATCCTGAGGTGGTGGTAGAATTTTGGCAAAATGTATCTTAACCATCTTTAGATAGATTCCCCCTAAAGATTTGTATCATGTTCTTTTCCACTGTTTAAAATAAGTTACATTTATTAATATAAAAATTACTTTATATTATAAATTTATAAATTATTGGTAACAGATGTCCTAATATTCCAGTAAGTGCTTCTCTAAATATATGAAATTCTCATTTACATTATTTAAACAGGAAACACATGGCCTTTAGCTTTCTTTTAATAGCGAAATGAAAATTAAATTGGATTTAAGTAATTTTTTCTATTTTTGTAAAGAAGAGAAATGTAAATAATTCATTGTGCCCTTAATATTTTATAACTGTATTTCTTTTAGGTGCACAGTTGGATAAGATGGGATTCACAATTCTCAGAAAATGTATCAGTGCAGTTGAAACACGAGGTAACATGATTGAATCATTTTATTCCTGAAAGGCTATAGGTATGTAAAATCTAAGAGTCATTTAAAATGCCTGTTGCATGGGTAAGTGTTGTAGAATGGAATACTTCAATGCAAAATGTACGTTCTGGGTGTCAGAGATTGAGTTGCTCATTTACCATGACAGGGTGGGATTTTCCTTTCTGTTTACATTAATATTTCTACCTCCTGCCACCCCCGCCCCGCATTGAGATTGAAGTCAGAGCTGAAATGAGAAGCATTCGAAGAATCAGCAGTGTTGGACAGCCAATCTGAATCACGTTTTGTACGCTATTAAGATATTCTCACCTTCCATCGTCTTGTTGGCCTCCCTTTAAAAAGTCCATTTCATCGAGGTGTCATTTACATAAAAAGAATTCACTGACTTTGTAGAAATTGGTGAGTTTTGACAAATGTACTGTCGTGTAACTGCCATAACATAGAAGTAACAATCATAGAAGATTTCTGGCTTTCCTCCCCCCATTCCTTTGTGCCCCTTTGCAGTCAGTCCCCACTCCCTCCTTGGCCCTTGGCAACCACTGAGGTGCTTTCTATCACTTTAGTTCTTTCTTTTTTAAAAAGCATTTCATATAAATGGAATCATGAACTATAGTCTTTTGAGTCTGGCTTCTTTATGTAGCATAATGCTTTTGAGATTCGTCTCATTGGGTGTATCCCTAGCTCCTTTCTTTTTATTGCTAGGCATGATTTCATTACATGGATGTTTATTCATTTACCTATTGATAAATATTTGGATTGTTTCCATTTTAAATTTAAGGAAAGCTAATCCCTCCCGTGACCGAAAGCTTTCTCTTTATAGTCCCTAGAAAAACAGGGCCCTTCCACTTTGCAGCCATGGCAGCAGACTTCGGAGAAACGAAATATTGAACATTACAAAATGGGCTCCTTCTGGAGGTCGAGTTTCTCTTTGTTTAGAGGCCTAGTGAAATATGGATAAATGGATATTTAATTCACTCTCATATATTGCATACCCCGGTCCCGCTTTAGATGACTTTGTGGATGAAGCATTGCGTTCATACTTTCTGTCAAAACAAGGTCTTTGTTGTGGAGCCAGGTGCCTGCCATGGCTGAAAGGAGAGTGTCAGATGACAGAAGACCGGCCGTTTTATGACTTGGGGATTTGCCCATTGACAGTAAAACCCAAGCCACAGAAAGCCTTTTCTCCTCCGCTCTCTTCCCCTGGCAATTTGGGCTGGAACAGATTTTCCTCCATCTTAGCCTGCCTTCAAGTTGAGCTGACAAATTTCTTCATTTTCCTAGATCTTCACACATTTCCAAAATTTAGAAAAAATACTGTGATTTTCATATCTCTCACTTCATCATTCATGGTTCTGTTTCTCCCAAGCTTCTGAAGTGAAGCGCCTTAATTGTATCACTTGTGTGCTTATATTTTGATAAATTATGTTCTTTCCCCAAAGAATATGTTTTATACATACTTGCTTCTGACTGAACAGATTAAAATCTATCTAGAATGCTTTCTGATTGGTAGGTGTAGCTTTACGGAGTGTTACATACATTGAATGGAATATATATACTAGAGCCTGCATGTATTGAATGTGTTTTTATTATAAATATATAATTATTGGATGTTTTTAACAGAAGAATGAGTCTACACAATTTTTTTTTTAAGATTTTATTTATTTGAAAGAAAGAGAGAGAGTACACTAGTGGGGGGCAGAGGGACAAACAGACTCCCGGCTGAGCAGGGAGCCCCATGCGGGACTCGATCCCAGGACCCTGAGATCATGACCTGAGCCGAAGTCAGACACTTAGCCAACTGAGCCACCCAGGTGCCCCGAGTCTACACAATTTAAGTTAGATTTTCTCATTTAAAGATAACAAAAAGCATAGTTTTTCTTTTTCAAATCTTTTGTTCTTAAAGGTTGTCCATTACTGAATGAAGCTTTTTGCTTTTAATGGAATACTAGACTAAAAACAGTGTTAAAAGCATCAATGGTCAGATTATATTATTAAAAATGATGAGAAACATTGTAGAATCTCTGAGGCTTTTATCCTAAATTTGTAAGTTCCTCCAAGTAATATTGCTCTTAATGATTTCCTCCAAATCAGCTATCATGGCTGTTGTTTTTTTTTTATGCTACAGGTATGGTTGCCTTACTTCTTTTTTTTCATCAGGATAAAGCAGCTATCTCTGTCCTGTAACAAGAAACACACAAGTCCCTGTGGCTTAAAACAACAGGACTTATTTCTCACTCAAGCATTGGTAGGAGGGCTTTGCTCATCACCAGTACCTTGGCTTACAGGTTCCTCGTTGCCTTTGCAAACCAACCAAATTAAAGGTTCCTGGTTGCCATGCGAGAGGGAAACAGTTCCGGAGGGCTTTGGACCAGCAAGTACAATGATCTGGCCTTGAAGCGAGTTACATTTACTTACAACTAATTGGTCAATAGAAACCTCATGGCCCCACTTGACCCCAAAGACTCTAGGTTGAACAACCCTACCAAGAGACTGGAAAACACACAGAGAGCTGGAAATATTTGGTGAATAGCATTAGTGATAACTGTGTTTTTTGTGGATCTACATACCTAAAGGCCAGGGGCATTTAATGAAATCTGACTGAAAAATTATTTCTAATCACTGCTTTTAGTGTTTTAAATGTGACTATCATTGTCTGAAAACTACCATTTCATGTGTTTGGATTAAAACTATTAGTGTGCCTTTTTCCCTAATATGTTCTTCTAAAAATGACTTTTGGCATTTTTATTACTATCCACCTTAATTGTGACGTCACTAAAATATTTGGAAAGCATCAGACAAATGTCTAAAACTTACTATGGTCCTCAGTATCCTAAGAAGAGGTAACATTTTTAGTGTACTAACATATCTTTGACAACATATATAATTTATATTACACTAAGATGACATATATGACACATATATATGTGACACTAATATATGATATCAATATATGACACTAATATAAATATATAATCTGTGTTAACATGTACAGTGTATGTTGACATATACAGACGCTAACATCTTGACCTGAGTGGGACTATTTAGCAGTTAACTCTGCTTTTGGGATAAGAAGAAACCTGTTTCACTACAATATTAACATCAGTTAACAAATCATACTCATCATTTCCATAGAGTTGTTTGCTCATGAGGTTAGGGGGTATGTGGGAGTCAGAGTAACTGATCTTTCAGCCATTTACCAAATGTTTGTAAATGCTATGTACCAGCTCTTAGTGGATTCAGGCGAACTGACTACCGCTAGGAAATTATTGCTTAAGTATGCCAAGCTGAAGGCCTTTCTAAGGCCAAGATTCCAAAATATTGCTGCACATTGGGATCATCTGGGATCCTCAAAAAATATGACCCGACTTCCCCCCTGCCTTCTCTGACTTTATTGCTATCTGGTATGAGCTGGGAAGTGGGATTTTTTTTTTTATAAATGTTCTCCAGGTGATTCTACTATGTAGCAAAGTTTGGGAACCACTGTCCTTAATGGAAGGGTTGCTTGTATGTTGGAGAAATAGGTGCACAATCATTATTTTTATGGTTAATATATCCTGCCATGTGGGGAGCTTTTCTTTTAACTTCTTAAAAATAACCCATCCAAAACCCAAACAAACAAAACTGAGAAGTTCTGAAAAAATAGCGCAGTGTTCTTTTCCTTCTCTCAGTAACAGATGACCTATCACAATTAAATCCTAGTTCTAACGTGAAGCCAGTCAGCTAACCAGTATTTATTTATTGAGCAGTCATAGTGTGTACATAGCTTTGTTCTAGTCCTTTGGGACACATATTAAAGGTTAGTTATATATAATGCTGGATACATGAATAGTAAACATAGAGATTTGTAATGTAAATACACCATGTGATAAAGTAAAAGTGTTATACATTTGCAAGAATTAAGAGAATTTGAATGTATGTTGATAGATTGCAGTGTACTTGATGTTGAGGACTGTGTTTAGGAATAGGCTCCCTTAGATTTAAAGGATAGGAAGGTATATTTTGGCATTTAGAGACACCTCTGCAAAGATGTAGAGACAGAATGTGAGGAACAAGGCAAATGTGATTGGAAAGGAAGCATGAAGAAGCAGTATAAAAGCAGGTACTCAAACATTTGCATTTAATTATGAAGGAACTTGGTAAGCCCTAGAGGATGGTGGATAAAGTAGGAGGCTTAGAAAGATAAATATGAAAATTAGTATTGGTAGCCATGTGTGGGATGACTTGAGTGCAAAGGAGCCCCAGAGTTCTGCCTAGGTTGGAGGATCTGGCAGGGCAGGTAGCAGCTGATTCAGGATGGGAGATTTGGCAGTGAGGTCAGATAGCATGGATACACCCCAGTAATTTAGCAGATGAAGTAGTAGTCACATTTAGCAATTGGTCGTATGTACAGGATCAGAGTTCTGCAAGGAATTTCACCTTCAGATTTTAGTTTGGAAAATAAAGGATATCAGGGAAACTTCAGGGTCCATGGCAGACTTGTTGCAGATTCCTGGGCTCAGTCAGCTCTGTTAAATCGTAATCAGTGGTAGCTGGGCCTCTGCTGTAGACAATGTGAGTTCCAATAAGAATAGTCAAGGGGAGACAGGGATTTTCCCTTCTTCTGCTTTTAGGAGGTAGAAGAAGCCATGATGGTTTCCTGAGAGAGTAGAGTTTCTGAGGGCCCTGGGTCATGGATCCATGTAGCTTTGGGGATTATGAGTGTGAATCTAGCAGATGCAGGGTGGAACCTCCATCCTAAAAAATGCAGTTGAGAGAAGAAATAAGAAAATGGCTCCAGGTGGCCAAGTCTCAGTCAGAAGCCAAGGGCATTTCAGATTTCCAGCACATTGTAGGTGGATCCAAGGCAAATTCTGAAGTGTTCATGGGGTCTGTTGTTCACTGATCCTGTGCTTCACCCCCAGCCCCTTTACCTGCTATTCCATGTGATGCCTAGTTTCTGGTGCCCTGTAGTAGTTTGTTCCTTTGTGGGAAAACACCTGGTTATT